CAAACTTGCCTACGTCCTCGGGAGCCACACAGTTAATTTCTTATAAATCAACTAGAAATTATAATGTAAGAGCAGATCTCAAACTTGAGATCTCTCAATAAAAAGTTCATTACTATAGCTACAGTAATAACCCTCTTCTTAAATACCCCATTTAATTCTCCCTCAATCCGAGAGCTGAAAAAATCACCAGAGGAGAAGAACAGAAAAAATCTTAGCTGAGATTTAAGTCTGACGCTAGGAGAAAAACGCGAGAGGAGAGAGAGAGGAAGCAGCCCGCGCACAGTCCCCACGAGATCTGGGTTTCCCTTTTATTGGGTTTCCCTTTTATAGGGAAACCCTAGCTGAGTTGTCAACAGGCTGTCGACAGCTATTATCTTGTATATGTTCATTTCCTTCATGCATATTCCTTTTTTTGTAAATTGTTTGTCATCATCAAAAAGGGGGAGATTGTTGGCCTTCTTGTTTTGATGATGTTTAACAAACAATTTATTACTAATGTTGTTTGTCTAGTGTTTGTGCATTCCTATGTTTTGTAGACAAACAACGTTGTTGGAGGATGGATGGAATAGAGCTTCAACGATCATATCCAAAGGAGGTTGGCGGAATGTCGGTGAAGCCTTGCTATTCAAAGTTCAAGATCCAAGTTCAAGCTTCATCCGCGAGATTACCAAGTCAAGCTTATTGAAGATCAAGATCATTGCTTGGGTAATTTAGTTTAGGAATTTATATTATGTGTGTTAGTACTTTAAGCTCAATCATATACACACATACACGTTTTGGTTGTATATATATAGTTATATATATATACATATATGTTTTGGTTTGATAGTTTTCAATTTTTACTATGAAACAATTGAATACAATTGGAAAACATATTTTTGTTTCATACTTAATACATTTATATGATTTCATCAATATCAATTTTATTTAGTTCCATGAAATCATGTTTTAGTGTATTATATGTGTATTTTGATAAAATACTATATTCATTATTTATAGACTTCATAACAATAGTTTACATCTTCTATTAAGTCTATAAAATCATTTTGTATTGTTTCAAAACATGGTTTAGCTAAAATGTCAAAACTCATGTGTTTATATTTTTGTGTTTTGGACCTCCTTGCAAAATGATGATATTTTACATTTGGGAAGTCCTTTCTGATAACCAGTCGCTGTAGCATGTTTATTATCATGTCTACAATCATTCTCCAAAGTTTTACATTTTTTAGAATTTATTTGATATTTTTTAAACAGTTTTTTAAAATCAGCATATCTGGTTTTTCATGTGTCAGATTTCGGTCGACCGCACCGGTCGACCGATCATTTGATCTTTCATCACTGGACTGTTTTGCGGTCTCTTGCTTGCGTGGGTCTTTGGCCTGTGACGGGGATGTTGATATCCGTGGACCACCGGACAATCAGATCTGTTTCCGAAAAATCGGACAGAGCTTCGTCGATCCGCGTGAGATTTAGAAGCCTGAAGCGTCTATCTCGGCTAAAACGAGATATCAGCTCTTCTTAGTGATTACCGGCGAAGGGGCAGAGAGTTAGTCAGTCGACCACACCGGTCGACTGAGAGCTCGCATCGGTCGACCACCAGAATTTTCGGTCGACCGCCGCTCTGCCAATATGACCGTTGCTTTCTCAACGGCTATTTTTCTGAGCTGATTTTTTTGGGGCTTTTTGGACCTTTACTTAGTGGTTTGGCTGAGATTTTGAGTGGGTATAAATACCCTATTGCTGTTCTCTTTCAAGCAAAAAAAAAAAAGAGTTTTAAAACAAGTTTAAGAAAGTTTTAATCAAGGGTTTAAGTTTGTTTTTAGTGTTTGTTTAAAAAGCTTTTAAGCATTTACAAGAGTTTGGTTTGTGGAGCAAATTTCACAAGAGCAAGTGGAGATCATCCTTGGTGTTTGAGCATTCATTCTTCTCCCTCTCTCTTGTCATCTATAGAGAAGTTTCCTTAAACTTAATTCTAGCATTTTATAAGTTTGTTCTTAATTTCATAAGCTAGATTTCATATTGAGTTTATATTGTTTTATCTCTTTGTTCACACACAACCTATTGAGCTTATTGTATTTACATTCATAGTATAATTTAGGATTGTGGGTTTGTGACATTGAGAGTGAGCTTAATTGAGTTCTCACCTTGTTAGAGAGAACAATCATTTGTCATATTGTGCCTAATTGTGAGGATTCACTTGTAATACACTTGTACACCGAGAGAAGTGTGTGGTGAGAGACGGGGTCGAATCCAAGAGGAGTGGCGTCGGTTGACGTGCCTAGGGAGAGGTTGTAACCGAGCACTTGAGGAGGAGGACACGGGCTAGGACCAACACTTAGTGTGTGAGGTGTGATTACATAGTGATTGTATTGTGAGGTGTAAACGTTGTTCGGGTGAACGTAGAAAACCCGGTTGTGATAGTGGAGTTCGTTGTTTCCGGAGATCCTATCAGCTCATAGCTCGTCGACTTCACTTCAGTCGTTACGTCGACGTCAATTAGACTCCTGTGGATCGGATAGTGACGTTCATCGTCGCTCTTTAACACTGAACCGTTCATGGAGACCTATAGGCAATTTTCGATGCCTACATCCACCCAGGTCTCTTTGGGAAATGTTGGTGGGGATACTCCTCATAGTTTTCTACCTCCAATCCAACAACCAACAAAGAGATCAAGTTACGATAGTTGGAGCACAGAAGACAACATAATTCTGCTAACTGCTTATTTTCACGCTAGTAATGATAGTGAGCTGGGGAACAACCAAAAAGGTGAAACTTTCTGGGGTAAAATTACACAGTATGTGAATGAGAATGGCAAGAGTGGAAAAGAGAGGACCATAGCTCGGTGCCAGAGTCATTACAAAGACATCAACAGAAAAATTTGCAGTTTCATTGGCTGTTACAGTACTGCATGTAGGGAGAAGCAAAGTGGTTGGTCTGATGAAAACTACATATCCAAAGGCAGGGAGTTGTACTTTGAGAAAATGGGTACATCGTTTAATTTGGTGGATGAGTGGAAGGTTGTTCGCAATCAACCAAAATATATGCCAGGAGTAGCAGTATCGAGTAGTAGCGGTTTGAAAAGAAAGAGTAGTAGTGAAGATGTTGAATCCTCCGCTCCTACCCTCGTACGTCCTGAGGGTAGGGACACGACAAAGAAGAAAGCTAGAGCTTCGTCCAGTATACCAAGGAAATCGAAGGTCGAACTTCAGGATGAGTTATCCAATATAGTCACCTATCGTGAAAAGGCGGAAGCGAATAGAGCAAGTACTGTTGAAGCTATGAATGTCCTCGCTCGTGCCAAGAATATGGAGACGTGGAGATTTTTGAAAAACAAACCAGATCGTGACGATGAAGATGAAGAAGCATATCAGTTGTTGAGGAAAGATCTGTTTGGCAAATGAAGAAGTTGTTGTTTGTCTATTAGTTTGTTTATGTGTTTTTAAGTGTTTTCTAAGTGTTTTGTGTGTTGAAATTGGAGTGTTGAATAAAATTGTTGTTTTTTATTTGAATAAATCCAATTGAAATGACTACTCCCTCTCCAATTGAATTGACAAGTCTCTGCAATTAAAGTTAAAAAATATATGAATTGACAACTCTCTAGTATGAATTGACAACTCCCTGCAATTAAAGACGAAGGGTTGAATTGACCACTCTATGCAATTAAAGACAAGGCATGAATTGACAACTCTCTGTAATTAAAGACAAAGGGTTGAATTGACAAGTCTCTGCAATTAAAGACAAGGCATGAATTGACAACTCCCTGCAATGCATGCCATACGCCACATGTCGTTGCAATTGCATGTTTTTGAACAAAGGTTTTCATTATAAATGCTGACCAAATGCACAACTTGGAGTATACCTATCAACATTTTTTCTACATACCCTCCAATGGATCCAAACCTAAATGAATTCAATCTCGAATACTTCCAACAAGAATGTGAGTTAGAAGATAAAATGTTTGATAGGTAACAAGAAGTGCTTGAAGAGTTGCTTAGGGCCATTTTTTCAAACCTTAAGGCCATTTTTTCGACCCGACCCGTTAACAGGCCCCCAAATTCTGTAGCCTTTCTCCAGCAGCCTCGAAGTCACACTCCCGCAAAATGGCCCCTCTCGCTCCCAGGTCTGGCGATGCCGTTTTTGCCAACGTCGAGCGCGTCGTAAGCAGTGGAAAAAAACCTAAAAATTCGAACTTTTTCCCCCAATTATTTCTCTATCGAACGATTGATTTTCCCCTAATCTTCTCTCTTGTTGCGATCAGAATGCGGAGCTATTCACCCTCACTTACGGCGCGATCGTGCGGCAGCTCCTCACGGATCTCGAGGAGGTGGAGGAAGTCAACAAGCAGCTGGATCAAATGTATTAATCTCTCGATTATTTTTATTTGATAATCTATTTGTGTTGACTGTTACTTAGATTTCAATTTGATTGTCGTTTAAATTTGTAGATCCATAATATAAAATCTAAAACTACATTACCCAAGCAATCTTGATCTTCAATAAGCTTGACTTGGTACACTTACGGATGAAGCTGAACTTGATCTTTAACTTGAATTATATGTTGCTTCACTCCACAATTCCGCCAACCTCCATTTGATATCATCGTTGAAGCTCTATTCCATCCATGATTTGTCTAGATTTTGAGCTTTTAGTTTGGATCTTTAGGCTTCTTTTATTTCAATGTCTAGGTGATTTTTATTGGGGGATTTGAACTCTTTATAATAGTATGAATAATGAACTTGGTGGGTATGTTTGTCGTAGAGAGGAATATAGGATCATCATATGCTTGATGTAGTTCTCATAATTTTCTCTTTTTCTATTATCATTTTATTCATAGTTATTTCATCTTCATATTCGTGTTGCAATGGGTTACTATAGCCTAGAATAGGAAAAAGAAAGGACTCAGCAAATTCTGATCTGCCTCTGATGAATATGACGATATTGTTCGTAAAAGAGCATAAGGGTGGGGTTTTGGTATTGTAGCTATAGTAAAGTTAGATAACCCAAGTCAGCTGTCTGCGTGCTTTGTTAGGAGTATATGGAGGGCTAAGAATCCACACACTTGTATTCTAACAAATAAGGCAAACACAAGAGCAATAACCACATCATAGACAATGATTATGTGGTTTAGCTACTTACAAACCTGCATCCATGGAAGAACAACGCCATTGATTTTTATTTACGTATGAAATTGGAGATAACAAGTACTGGAGAGATTTATCCCAATAGAAGGAGACACAAGCTCAAGAAGCTCAACAAGAGTTTTAACCTTTGAGGAAGACATGCTCAACACAAACACTCAAGATATGGACTCCTCTTCTTCATTCCTCAAGAAGCTCCAAGAAATGATTAAATCATTTTTCCAAGCTCTCAACAGCACTAACCCACTTCATCCACCTTAGTAAGGGTTCTCAACAAATGACAATTTTCGGATTGTAACAATCCAATGGCTCATAACAAAGATGGGTAAGTAACTAATACAAATGAGTGTGAGTTGGATTTATCTTCGCCCATTTACCTAAATATGGACAGTTGTATCGCGGCCTAGATGCTTGTTTCATACCACACAACCGTTTTATCTACTTGCAAGCTGAGTAAGGATTGTGACAAGTATTACCTGTGTTTTGGAGGCTATAGATTGGAGGTAAATGACTATGTTGATTCCAATCATGCCAGTTGTTGGAAGACAGAAGTCCGTCAAGGGGCATGTTTTTATTATTAGTGGTGATGCCATTAGTTGGATGTTTAGATAGCAAGACATTTTGCATTGTCTCCTACCCAAACCGAGTATATTATCTTGAGGGAAGCGGCAAAAGAGATGATATTGTTGAAGCAGTTGCTTTCTCAATTTGGATTGACTAGCTATGTGGTGCATTATAACAATCAATGTGCAATTCACCTTGCAAAGAATACACCTTATCACTCCTTGAGGAAGCATACTAATCTTCATTACCATTTCATTTTGGATGGCTTTGGGTCACTGTTACCTAGTTGAGAAGATTCATATGAAGAGGAATCTTGCCGACATGTTCATGAAAAGTTGGAGAAATAAATGTCATATAGGAAACTTTGTGGGCTTGCCGAGACATAGTCGTATTTGACGGAGAACTGGGTTGCAACGATATGGATGTGGGTGCAAATGTAAACACGGTAACACAATGCGGAAGTAAGAAACCTCAGAATCCACCAATGGTTGTTTTTTATATCCATAAAAGAACGATCTTTGAATCCACGAAGAGTTTCGAATCCACAAAGAAAGTATAATAAAGAGGAATTTTATTGATGAAAAATTATCTAATAATTTTGGTGTTCCATGTCTCTTCTTATATGGAAAAATAAATTAGACTCGACTAGATTTACAAAGAAATAGAAAGTATCAAATCTTATCCTAAAAAGGCTCCCTATAATATAGGAAACAAATCAGTCCAACATCATTTAAAATTGAATTTGTTTTCTAATCTAAATTGACGCTAACATTATTACTAAAAAGAAACTCAAAGTTGATTATTTTCAGATTTTAGCTAAAACTGGGTATTACTGATGAGATTTTGAAAATATGACAATTTGATTGCCTCCGTCTTGTCGAGATAGGATATTTACATATGCAATATGTCAGAATTCGTCTTCCGGGTTGGAAGATATGATCGTTTCTTTACGAAAGCCAATAATATGTATGTATCCGCATTTCGCTCGTGATTGATCCGAGCTCCATGAAATTGTCTGTTAAATGTCCTACGTCAGTCTTCCCTTATTGTAAGAAGCTCGACCTCGAGCTTATATTTGGTCGAATAGTAGCTTCATTGATAAGTATTTTTCTTCTCTTGCATCGATCAGTATCCGTCTTGTACTTAGCATTGATTTTCTCTATTGGTTGTTTTCCCTACTCAGCTAGGACTTCTTCAGACTTAAACTTTTGAATAAATCTTTCCCGAGACAAGTGTATATGATTGGGGCATGTGGATCTAGAGATGACTTGAAAAACTCCTCCAAATGTATTCCTTGTTGCTTCTCATAATCTAGTATCGTAAGTATCATCTCAACCTTCTTAAAATTACTCACAGACTTTGCTTCTAAGGAAAATTTTTTCCTCAATACTCCATACACAATTCTTTAATCTCTTTTCCCTCGGGTGCTCCACCAAGCAAGTCACAAATACCATCAATTACCTTGCTCTCTATCATATCATTCTCCTCCATCGAGACAACATTAATATGTGTAACATCACTCATGACGTCTTTGAGAATTCATTGCATATTATTCATCTTCATTAACATGTCACCATTAACATCAAGAATCTCATGCACAATGAGGGTTTGCACTTCAAGATGAATATTGATGGTGGCAAAATCTTCCTTTTTGGTTGTGAGTGTCTCGTTGTCTGCCACTAGAAAAACATTCTCCTTAGCAATCTCTTTCTTAGATGCCTTTAGTTCTATGATCGATATAATTGATGAAGTCTTCTTTGTTGCTTCTTCGATTATCTTCACTGATCCAAACTCTCTCTGATACTAATTAACGTAGCGCGGAACTAAGAAGCCTCGGAATCCTCCAAGGGTTGTTCTTTGAATCCACAAAGAATGATCTTCAAATCCACGAAGAAAATATAATAAAGAGGAATTTTATTGATGAAAAGTAATCTAATAATTGTAGGGTTACATGTCTCTTTTTAAATAGAAAAGAAAAAACTCTTAATAAGACTAGAATTATAAAGAAATAGAAAGTATCAAATCCTACCTCAAAAAGACTCCCTATAGGAAACAAATCAGTCCAATGAAATTCAATTGAGATTGAATTTATTTCTTAATCTAAATTGACTCTAACTTTATTGCTAAAAATAAATTCAAAGTTGATTAGTTTCGGATTTTAGTCAAAACCGAGTATTACTAATGGGATTTTGAAAATATGACAATCCAGTTGGCTCCATTTCGTCAAGATAGAGATTTACATATATAGTATATCAGAATTCGCCTTCTGTGTTAGAAGATATGATCATTTCTTTTCGAAAACCAATAATATGTATGTATCTGCATTTAGTTCGTGATTGACCCCAAGCTCCATAAAATTGTCCGTTAAACGTCCTACATCACATGGGATGACACAAATTGTAAAATGTAGGATGCAGGGTATACGACGAACTATATATCTAAATGACCTTTGAAATCATAGTTTTGGACAAGGTATAGGATGAAACAAAACCGACACGCGTCCAGCGAATTGCAAGAAGTGGCTGTAAAGTGTAAGATATTGGTCCAAGAAGTGACTGAATATTTGATTATAATTGTGTTTTCCTTATGAGATATAATTGGAAGAGCATGCTATTTTCTAAGTGTATTTTCGTGTCTGTTTGAATTTCCAGTTGCAGTGTTGTTTCTCCATATCAAGATTTTAATTTGCTGTCTGTACTTATCTTCGTGTTATCTTCTTTATTTCATTTGTTGTTTGTCCACCACATCTCTAGCATGGACATTTTACTTTATCATGGATCGGCATGACTATGGCTAAATCCTAGTTACTTAAATTTTCTTTTCATGAGTCGGTTTACTTCTGCCAAAGCTTTTCCCTCTTGTTGTCATCCCAAACATCCACATATTCAGTAGTATGTACAGTTCTTCGTTCATTCCTGAGTAATAAAATTATTCAATAACTAATCTTTTGAGTGTGTACTTGGTTTAATTTCTTTTCCCCTTATTTCATGGCATATTTCTCTGTTTTAGGGGATTTCCTGCTCTTTGTCGGGTATTTAACGTTAGTATATTCTCCGCTTTCTTCATTGGATACTCTTGTGACTTGTGCAATATCCTTTTTTATTTCTAATATTTGACATTTGTATATTCTATAAGCATTTGTTAAGTACTAACATATTTTTCAGCCACTTCATAAGTGACCTGTTACTGATTACTCTTGAATAACATTCAATATGGATTCTTCATCTCATATCACCTTCTATTCACAACGTTACCTTTTTTTTGGTTCAGGGGTTACAATATTGGAATTCGGTTGATTGATGAATTTCTAGCCAAGTCCAATGTGTCCAGATGTGTCGACTTTAAGGAGACATGTGACGTTATTGCTAAGGTGCTTATTCTTTGCTCAAAGGGAGCCTCTCCTTTGCCTTCTATTTTGTTAGTACCCTCTTATGGCACTTAGCTATGTTGCATGGGGATGGGTACAAGTATGAGACATGGAAAATTTATAAAAGATATTGTACGCGGACACAGCTATATAAATATTTATATACACATATACATAAATTGGAATTAATAACTTCTATGAGAATAAGGAGGAGAACTAAAATTCCTATAATATTTTTATGTTTCTTTTATTATGTGGATTATAAATTGGAAAATCACTAGTTTTTGAAGTAGACATCCAAACAATCCTTCGAGATCATAAACAAGTTTCAAGAAGTGGATGTGAATTGTAGGATATATGTCCAAAAAATATATAACATGTGTTCTAAATTAAAACATGTATTGTATAATTGATTACACGCCCAAATAAATGTATACATATATGCAAGGAGTGTCCAAGGAGTTTGGGTACGGGTCGTGTACAGGTGCAGCTTCAGATTAGAAGTACCGAGGTAGCATAGACACTGAGTCATCAGGGTCTTATAACTTGAAAAATGCTCCTTGGGTTGGTCTGATGGAACGTATACTTTGTTAGCTTTCTATAATATGTGATTGCATTTTCACAAATTATCTCAAATATCTGTTTGGAAGCCATCCTCAAAGTTCGTTGTAGAGTATGTCCTTATCAGTAGGCTATATATAATTCCAGCACCTAAACAGATTATTTCTTCAGATTTGACATGTTTTGTTAGCATTTTGCATTTATTCAACTCAATTTTCTTAAGATTTTACTCAGAAATTCGTGATTTCCCTCCTTTTCCTTTACATATCTGCACCAGCTTCAATAGATTTTTGACCAATTTGACAAGTTGAGGACAAATTTTGCATGTACCATGAGCTGAAGATTCTTTTGTATGTAAATGGCAATTGTACGCAAATGATTTTGTCTCTATATCCTGTTTGATCCATCTTATTCTGATAATAGACCTGTATGTCGGCGTCTATTTTCAAATAGGACATGGCAAAATCTAATCCGTTAAGAAATTCTGATTGAGTAATTTCATTTTGGTTATTTGCATATATGCCCCATTGCCCCTTAAAGCATGGGTATTTGCAAAAATGCCCCCCAAATCTTAGCATTTGCAAAACTTCCCCTCAAATCATCAACTTGGGGTGGAGGTGGGGGGATATACACCTAAAATCAACAAATCATCAACTTGGTGATAAAAATTTGACTATTTTGTTTATTACAAATTAGCTTATCAAAGTTGATGATTAATTGCTTTGAGGGTAATTTTTTTTCCAAAATTGATGGTTTGAGGGGTAGTTTTGCAAATACTAAGATTTGGAGGGTATTTTTGCAAATTTCCAAGATTTAAGGTATGCAAATAATCCTTTCATTTTCTTCCAACTATTTCTTCTGCACTTAGTATACTTTGTCTAGTGGCAACTATTTCCTGAGCAGTTATTAGTTCTACTAAAAAGAGAAAAAAAAAGAATAACAATTATCTTTTACCAATTTTTTTTCTGAATAAAAATAACATTACTGCCTATTCATGTATAGTTCTTGTTTTTAACGGTACATGTTAATTCGTCCAATCAATAGCATCTTCAATGAATCCCATGGATGAAATACATCAGTTAAAGCACAGCATTTATTAATTATGGGGACAAGGAAATATAAATTTAAGAAATGAATTGGTCGATGGGAGCATTATGAATGCAGACGGTTAATCATTTCCTTGAATGTTGTCTATGCTAGTCATGTAAATTTCTTCATTTTTTTATTTTCTGGAGATAAGAGAATTCTTCAGCATTTAGACTCACTCACTACGTTGGCATCCTTGAAACAGGTTGGTTTCAAAATGTTCTTGGGAGTCACAGCAACTGTTAGCAATTGGGATGCTGAGGGGACAAGCTGCAGCATTATATTGGAAGATAATCCTCTGGTAGACTTTGTTGAGCTTCCTGATACATGCCAAGGTCTTAACTACTGCAACATCTTGAGTGGAGTAATTAGGGGAGCATTGGAAATGGTTGGTTTTCTCACTCTTGATCATAAAATGATCTCCATCTGTAATGCTTTCATAATCTTTCAAGTTTTGAGTAAATAATTTTGTATCTGTACTAAACATTGCCTTGACTATCCAATACGATTTGACAACAAATTTCTATTCCTTGTGAACAGAGAAGGGTACCATGAGGATGAAATGCATACACCACAAATATGTTTATTCCACAACAAATATATGTTTGTTCTTTGTAAACAGTGAACTAAGTTTAGTTGCTGTTTTTGGTTTCAGGTGTCGATGAAAACTGAAATAACCTGGGTAAGAGATATGCTTCATGGTGATGACGCGTATGAGCTGCGCCTGAAACTACTGAAGCAGGTTCCAGAGGAATACCCTTACAAGGATGATGAATGAGTCTGCGTTGTATATTAGCTCTGAAAAAGACAACGAGATGATTTTATTTTACTTTCAACACCTTTGTAGTTTGTATTGGTGTACTTCTGCTTTGCCTTGAGTTTTGCTGTCTTTGTGGTAATGCTTATGTTCCATGAGACCTTTTTAGTCGTTGCTAATTTGCATATAGTTGGGGATTTCGTTATATGGATGTTTCAGTGAAAGGGAAGTATGCACATCTTCATGATGGTTCGGCTTAATGTCTTGAATGTTGCATGGATCTCTCGTATTCAGTTATTCTAAACGCATCTGAATCTTGGCAAAAAATGTGATGGTTGCTATCGGTGGGTGGAGAGAACGATGTGTTAAGTAAGGAGTAATGAGTTCCGTACGGTTGTTATTGCAACTACATGGAGTTGTTGGAAGGAAAAAAGAACTTGCTTCAAATAAGCAGATAATTTTTGCATTCAGATTATCACCAGAACATGAGTGGGAAGTGGGAACTGTATAGTGTTTACGCATACAACTGCAATTTCAAGTGTTTATAATTAACTATACCCTAAATCCAGTTATAGTTGGTTTCCAGATACTTTTTAATGCCTCCAATCTATACGGAACGACATAAATCCTTGATTACATGAACTCAGAAATTTGCTCTACGAGTCATGGCGTATATTTTGATACAAGAGGAACACAAATGAACCTGGACTTGCTTCTGATAGAATTATCGAGGAAACATTAACACAAACCAACATAGCGCTCATGATTTTTCTTTACCTTTATCTCTAAGTAATTAGTTTTCTTAAATCTTACTAGATTCATATTCATGATAGAATTATCGAGGAATCATTAACACAAACCAAGACAACGCTCGTGATTTTTCTTTACCTTTATAATTAGTTTTTTAAAATCTTACTAGATTCATATTCCAAATTCGTTGGAGCTGAATTTAATGAAAGTCAACTAGAGTTTTATGTTTTTATATGGCCATTTTCAATGTGTTTCTTTTCCTTTCTCCCATTATAAATCTTATAATTAATTACACCTTCCCTAAAATTTCCAACAAAAATATCAAATTATTTTGTAGAATGACCAAATCAAGTAAATAGACATCGCAGCCTACCAAAGGCTCTTCAACAGCTGTAGACCAGCCAGGCTGGCCCACAACAACCCACGGCAAATGTCTTCTTTCTCCTTTCTTCTTTCTTCTTCTCTCCTCTCTCTTCTCCAACAAACCCCCACCAAATTTTATTAACTTATAAAAACTCTCAAAATTCCACCCGCCGCCTTCTACTTCCTCTTAAAAAAACCGTAAAATTATAAAAATACTCCTTTTTATTTGATTAATTTGGGATTTTCGTTATCGCTGAGCGGTCGATTTCTCTAATCTCAGTTCGTTGAGCTCTCCCTTTCTTTCTCCTAATACTTTTCCTTCGAGTTGACTCCAACCGAAAAAATCGCAGAGCTCTGCTGTTTTCTTCAGTTTGTTTGTCGGGGGTCTTTCTATTCATCATTTTGGAGCGTGACTCATAAGTTATCTTTTATGTTAAGAGCTCGATTTGGGGCCGGATAATTATTTTTGGAGGGATAATGGGTTATTTTTTGGGCTTGGTGATTTTGATTCTTGGGTCTCTTCGGCCTTCGGAGTCCATGAGGCCTCTCAAGGAAAGAGGTTCTGCTGCTGGATCTTGGAGCGATGAGGTATTCATTTATTTATTTATTTGGTGAAATTGGAGAAATTATAGGAGTTAATGCTGGCTGAGTGATGCTGATATAACTTTGTATACTGGGCTGTGTTTGTTTACATAAAAGGAAAAAAAAACAGAAATCAATTACTAGCTAGTAATCCAATGCTTTCTTTCACTTTCAATGCCTTAGGGTTTGGAAGTCAATATAGTTCAATAAATGCAATTTTCTTGTTCAACTTGTCATCACTAAATATCAGTTGAGGTTTGATAATTTATTTATTTTGCTTGTTATTTTTTGAGGGAATATGTAATTTTGTGGGCAACACAGTGCCGACCCCGAGCTTTGAGTTGCCCTAGCCCAATCCAATTTTGGTTGCCCCTTATATTAAAAATTTGGTATGAACAAAATAAAAATGAATACATATAATACAATTTAGCGTTCTATATTGGGCTGATAATATTCTCGTGCAAAATTAATATTCATATAAGAAGGGATTACATTTGTGCTACAATTTAATTCAAAGAAAAATACTTCTTGAATTTTTTGAAGTGAATTCTTCAATTAAGTCATCATACTCAAGTTTCTCCAAGTATTCATTTTCAATTGATATCATTGTCAATCCATTCAATCGTTCCTGTGACATGATAGTGCGAAGATAACTTTTTATCAATTTCAACTTGAAAAAACTTCTCTCCGCCGAGGCAACCGTAACTGGGATAGTTAACAAAATCCAATAAGCAACCCATGCACATTGAAAGCCACCATCATCCCAATAAGATCTTATGAAGTCAAGGATGTCTATTGATTTAGTCATTTCCTTCGGCAATATTGTTTGCAAAGCTCGTAGGTCATTGAATAAATATTTCCCATGTATATCACATTGTTAGTTGTGTTCCAAGTATCTTTGTAATTTAGTGCAATTTTCCATCAATTTTTCTTCACCAATACTCATGAACTTTGCATTAAACAAAAATCCGAAGATTTCTTCATAGAGCTCGAATTGTTCAAAACGATCTTTGAGTGATGTAAGAGCTTGATCAATAATGTGAAGGAAATAGGAAACTCTAAAATTATCCTCCGGTGATTGACTACCTTCAACATTCGCTTCCACATCCTCATCAAAATGCTTCTTTCTACGAACTACTCTTTTTATCGGAAATGCCGGATCGATACCAACATCATTAGCAAGTTCATTGGCTTCTTTCATTATGTTTTTAAAACCGTCTTCTCTAAACTTTTGAAAGAAAACAATAAGCTCGTTTATTCTTGTAATTGCATCCTCCAAATTCATCTCTTCTTGTTGAAGAACTTTGCTAACTCGATTGACTTTATCTAAAATCTTATACCAAATACACAAGCTAATCAAGAACTCAAATTCCTGCAAAGCATTTTTACACAAGCTTTTAGCTTCTGCCATCACAATGTCCTCTTTAGAACTATTTGCAATTTCAATCAAAGCGTCTCTCAACTCTGGTGCTTGATATCAAATTGTTTTAACATTTTCAACATGACTTTCCCAACGAGTAACCGACAATAGCTTTGGTGTCAGACCCTTTACATATGTTTTAAGAACATCCCACCGATGTGTTGATCCAGCAAACAAAGTGTTAGACCCTTTACATATGTTTTAAGAACATCCCACCGATGTGTTGATCCAGCAAACAAAGTGTAAACCTTTTGCACATATGCAAAAAAATTTCTAGCTTTGACTGATCCAGCAAACAAAGTGTAAACCTTTTGCACATATGCAAAAAAATTTCTAGCTTTGACACAAGATTTTACCATATCGTATAGTGCAAGGTTTAAGCTGTGGCACCCACATGGTGTATAAAGAGCTCGAGGATTTATGTCAAGAAGTCTTCTTTGTACACCTTGATGTTTACCTTTCATATTTGACTCATTGTCATAACTTTGACCTCTTATATCATCAATGTTGAGATTAAGTTCATTCAAAGTATCTTCAAGTTGATTAAAAAACCCAAGTACCGACGTGTCATCAACCTTTATAAATCTAAGAAAACAATTGACATTTGTTCCTCATGGCTTAAATCCGACGTACAATCAAGAATAACTGAAAAATACTTTGCTTTTGAAATTTTGACAAGAATTTTTGCTTTGATCTCATTGGACAACATATCAATTCATTTTGAATTTTATGGCTAATATAATGACTTTGAACTTCTTTATCTACTACACGCTGAACATGATCTTGCATAATTGGATCGAATTCTGCAAGGAACTCTATAAGTTGACAAAAAAGTCCATTGTTCTTCTCATAAATCTTCTCATATGTTCCACGAAATGGCCAACCATTTCGAGAAAGAGTCTTCACAACCGTAATGATTCAAACTAGTATCATCTTCCAACGAGTTTTTTCTTTGTCAATTTGTGCTTCTATATCTTTATTAATTGTTGCCTTTAGTTTTAGTCCTTTTTGCAAGTCAACCCATTTCACAACATTTGCACAATGCTCCGGATTACTTTCATGCTATCTAAGCTTTGTAGGAAGGTTATGCCAATCGTTTATTCTATTTTTCACCAAATTGATTGTCATTGGTTTATTCTTAAACAACTTGCAACAAAAACAAAATACTCTATTCAGTTCATTTGAATAGACAAGCCATTTTCTTTCATGCTTCTCGCCATTTGATAATTCACGAATGTAATATTTGGACGAAAAACTTCTCTCCCACTCTTCTTTTCACTTGGAAACTCATCATTTTTCTTTAAAATCTTGATAGGACCACGTTGAACTATTATCACCCTGTTAGTATCATTTATACTTCCCCACAATCCCGGATCATAATTTACTTCCGTATCTTTCTCAAGATCAAGTATGCTTTCATTATATTTACTAAAAGCTACTTCATTGTCATTTCCGTCCACATGAACATTTTCATTCACAGGCTCTTCATGATATTCATCACTAGTTTCCTCATTACGACTTCCATCCGCATAAGTGACTTCAATCATGGGCTCTTCAATGATCTCATCTATATTTTCACTAATATTGGTTGTGGCACTAGCTTCTTCAACTTGACTCGAAAGAAGAGACTGTTGTGTTTTTGCTTTGAATAGCTTAGAAATTGAGCCATCCAGTGATTTTGCCATTTCATCTTGACGTCGCTTGACTCTTCTATTATGAGCTCCGGAGTTTTGTTTTCTAATCCTTACTCGGTTTTTATCATCTCCCGTCATGGTGTACTGTAGTCTGTAAATATAATTATATGACATATAAGTAATATGTCTGTAATTATCTGATGCATAATGTTTTTGATTTATTTTGAATGTTCGACATGGGCTAACTCGTAATGGAAGTTGTAAGAAAATTATAGCTTAAATTGCCAGCATTTGATAGACTTAGTTAATTATTTTAGTTGTGACATATGGATTCAATGTACAGCTTAACTACTCAGCTTTAGCCATTCTGCTCCTGAATAAAATAAACAACATGCTCCCAATAAGAGAAAACAAAGATGCTTCCTAGTGATTTACACAGTAGAAGCCAAAATTAACATTAAATAAAAAAATGACGACTTGACTACGAAATGAAAGATTATTAATTAGCCATGACTCATCTATGGAATCATCTCTGAGTCTAAACAAACCCACAAACTTCCCATTTCTAAGAATGAAGATCCCACAGAGGAAACTAAAAATCTTTTATCCTGATAACAGTAACATAACCAAATACCTTCATCTTCTTCCACCCAAAAAAAAGGGGAAGAACGTTCTGAATTCTCTAGAATCCCAAGTTCTCAACAAAAATGTCAAAATTCAAATACTACATAAGAAAGTTAGAAACTTCCCTGTATAATCGAGCCAAATATTCAAGTCATTCGGCAAAAGAAAGGTTTATTTTCTTTTCTACTCATTAAATAAACTCCTAAAAGTTTATGTCTTTCATCAATTTATTCAACAACTAAGATTCAGCCAAGATTCAAAATCAGAAATCTTAATTTCATTGCAAAACATCAAAACCCTAAATTTCTGTCCAAAAAAACCCTAAAATTATTTAGTTAAAATTTTTTACCTGATTGGGTTGGAGGACTCAGCGGGGTGAAGCCTGAAGGACGGGTCCGATGGGAGCAGAGTAAGGTCAAAGTCGTCGGACCTTTAGAGGCTCGGGAAGGAGGAGATGAGCGGTTTTCTCTCTTTCTTTTTTATTTTTCTTTTTTTTATGAGCGGAACAGACGGAAAGGAGGAGTGGTAATGCTGACGGAAATGGGTTTTGGGTATTCATTAGAGTTCTTTTACAAATAGAACCCTAACAATTTTTGCATAAAGGTCCTCTTACAAAGTCTACTTCAAAAATCAAAGATAATTACAGTTTGAGGGGTGAATGAGCGGAGGGATGAGTTGCCCCCCCGGCCCTGGGTTGCCCCAGCCCCGGGGCTTGGTTGGCTTACCCCAGGGCCGGCCCTGGGGCTACATGGAGTAAGCCATTCAATTTTCTATGTCCTTTGTATTCATTCATGAAATATGAGATACCAATTCTAAGAACTTATTCTGAGTAAGACTCCATGAAACTCTTTGTTATTGTGACTTCATTTAGAAAGAACTTATACGATTGTAGTCTATAAGGTTACTAGTAGGCATTCTTCTTTTCCTTCTTAACAAGTCTCTAAGGATATGACGGATGGGATTGTCAGGTAGAATATGGTCAAACTCCTTCCTCCAAGTTTCTAGAGGGTGTCGAAGTACCTATATAAAAGAGTGCCATTAGTCGGTTGATCATTTTCCCTCCTTACTGACGGTTGTGTCTGTTTCAGTTGTCTTATACTATTTTACAAATTAGATGTATCCTTTTCTTTGGCCAACTTGTCTCCCATGTCCTACGGCAAGGTGCTCTATTTGGCATCATTGTTGAGGATTAGTGTCAGTTCAACTGTTGTATCAGGTGTTCGAACCTGGACAATTTTTTTTGTGGACTTCTCTCGAGTTTGATTTGAGTTCATAGTTAGGTGCTAAGGAAAAGGCTCTGGATCGAAGCCATGTTTCTTGGAAGTGGAAAATAGCTGATTTGTAACAAGAATTGACAACACGAGGAGGGCAAGAGGAGACATGAATAGAGGGCAAGATCCAAGGTAATGATTTATCATGTTTTTCTAATTAGGATCTTTGAGCTCCTAGACAATTAATATGTTGAGTTGGCTGAGTCTAGACTGGAACCAACAGCTTGAAAATGTTTCCTTCAAATGGCATGATTGTCCTGTGGCAAAACACATTATTGCCTGGGGGACTTACTATAGTGAGATGAAGATGTGCAGTCTACCGATGAAGATAAAGTAGAGATTAAGAATTCACTGTTACCTGATAACAGCAAGAAAAGTTTCAAGTGTCCCATAAAATGAATGTAAAAAATTAAAAATTGAAGCAGGCTTTTTAAACCATGCTACTATTTGAAATATCTGTTCATCTAGTTGCGAAATTGGTTAAGGCTATGGCAAGTAGTGCATTAGCAGATATAGAAATTAAGTGATAAAATTAATGATTAGATTACGAAATTATGCCTACACAATAACCTCACCACCATCAGTAACAAAGTCTTTATCCGATGAATTTGATGTTGTCTATGTCAGCCGTTTTTCTTCCATTCATCTCTGTTAGCATTGTCTTGAGAAGAATCAGCAGCTTCTAGTGTCCATAGTGGTGTGCAGCAGCTAGAGTGCCACCTATACTGCCTAGCCAACCACATAATGACGGTTGGAAAACAAGGTTTATGAGGTCATTAAAGCAACCATGTAAAAGTATGTAGGTGACAATCACATCTCATTGTCTTTATGTGCTTCCACATGTAAGGCAAATAATCACTTCCACGCTAGTTATGCACTCCTAAACCTGATTAAATGAATATTTATTAAATTTTTTTTCTTTCTTATGCCCAACCTATTACGTACAATTAAACAAAACCCTAAGAGACTAGATGTGATAAGTCTTTAGTTGAAAGTGATCTGATTCAAGTAGTTGAAAATATGTAAATGGGTAGAACCAAGAAATGACTACTGCTTTAAACTGATATGTGATCAATTATTTGATAAATTCATTTTATGGCTCATTAAAATTTGGCAATTCATTGTCATTACCACCCGTGGGTTCAGAAAATTTGGTCAACTCTTAACAGAAGCTTTATTGATCAAACAGGTCATGGTACAAAGAATTAATTTTTAGATGCAATATTTCATCGATTTACTTCCATTTTGCCTTGTAATGAATTGACCTTTTGTTACAGAGGCTGTTCCTTAGAAGAGATGACAATGACCTTGGTCCTTATTCTCAATGGAATATAACTGGAACATATAGAGGTTTGCTTCCTTTTCTTCTTATGGTTGAAGTGCATATTGCTGAAATGCAGGGTTTTGCTCTTCTTCTGAATATTTTCCTTTCATTTTTAAAAGCCTCATGATGCAATGAGCGGTTTACTGTAACTTCAAGGTTTTTTACAATCATTTCTATTGACTTGCTTAAAAAAGTTCTACACACATCTCATATTTGAGAAAATTTTTAATATTTTTGTTAATTCTTGATCAAACGTTGCTTCTAAAGCTTGTAGAACAGTTTATATTCTCCTTTTCTATTCACCTTATTACTATTTTTTTGTGATTCAATTTATTGCTGTCTCCTGCAGTTTATATTGGTGTTGGTATGCCATTTTGTTTAAGAATTCAGAACACAATGATTTAATTTCCTGCTTGGATAATTTAAGAAATATTTCATATTTATAGATTGTTCATCTCCGTTCAATTCTAAAGAAAAAATAATGTATCTTTCTATGTGGAGATCCAACCAAGGAGTGAGGAATCTGATAAAGAAAAAAAAGTTCCAATTAAAGAAAAAAGGGTATAAAGAAAGACTTGCAATCTATGGAGTGAATTCGAGGCATCAAATTTAGGACAAACAAAATGAAGACTGCCAGGATTTATTCTGGTTATTTGATAAGTGTTATACTTTTTTGAATATAGCAGTAGGCATACCAACTTCTGGTGATATTTTTTGTGCGGCACAAGAAGTTCACAGGCCTTCAACTATTCTCATGAATTCCTATGTTATTCTGCGGAAGTGATTTATTTTTACTTGGAGGTCACTGTTGATGATAATTCCATGTGCTCACTATTACTAATAATCCTAAATGACAGTCTTAAAAAACTTGTGACTATCTATAACTGTACAACCTTCATCCCCCTCCCTCAATATGGTAACTACTAGAATTTTTATGGTTTGTCTTTATCTTTTCACCTAAGAGCTAGGACATTAATTTGCATTTGGACACCACTCATTAGTGAAAGAACAGAGGGTCTTCAGTGCAGACAAGCTTGTTTATTTATGCTGGAGAAACATCACATTGATTCTTGAATATCTTCGTAGCTATGAATCCAATCTTACTGTTCTTTATCACTTTTTTGCTCACATGTTTAGATTCGTATTTTGTTTTGGGCATGGGGGCACCTCAACTTGTATCCCATGAAACTATGAGGGATCTTTATGAATTTTTATTAAAAATTAAGAGTGTTGTGGAAGGAAATGTCGCTGTAGTTATGTTGGAATCAAGTTTATCATTTTCAAAGAAATAGCTAAACATTATTTTTGCATCCATCGTAAAATTTCTGAGGATATATATTATCACACAGTTTGGGAATAATCTTCACTTTTGGCAGTTGCTCAACTGAAAGATACAGAAACTAACCTTGTCAATCTAACCTGGTTCAATTTTACATTTCTTGTATCCATGTAAAGTTTACGGGTACCTGGACTGGGGTAGTTGTGAATCAGGTTATTGGATTGTAAATAGATAGATTACAATGACAACAAGGAATTACCAATCATGTCTCATAATCCACAAGCATCAAATTTATTGGTTCTACTTCCTAATGTTACAACAACAAAAAATGACGTGCAGGAAGTTGGAGCTTTGCTGAGAATTCCAACGTCTCTTCTAGATTCCTAGATTTTGGGAGATCCAGTGGTGCTTCTATCTTGGAGCTAGTCAGTAGTCCGACAAAGATAAGCGGTGTACACTATATTCAGGTAAGAAAGATGTTGCATCTTTATAACAGGTTTCTGCATCAATGCATTTTTTTATTCTGATTGTTTTTCATTGTTTATTTAGTATAGAAAGAAATTGTTTCAGACAAAAGAATCATGCTAAACTGTGTTTGTTATCTTATGATCTGGGTTGGAATACCCAATTGATCTTCTTGTCTCTCGCTAATTTACTTCTCAAACCTTACTATACCAAATGATAGAATAAGAATAAAGTGCATCTCTAAAATGTTATAGGTTCCTTCAATTGAGGATAAAATGAAGAATGTAATGTGTAATCATCTGCTCAAAGGTGACCCTTGACAGCACATAATGAAAGAGAATGGTTCATGTGTCCGGCCTAAATGTTGGGGATAAAATTTTTTGTTGTGATGTTGAAACATGCAATGTGATATTTGATTATCTTGTTTCTTTGCTCTTCACCTGCAGAATCTTTTTGGTATTTTTTTATGTAAGCCATAATATATTTCCAAAATCAAAGTTCTTATTTGGCAGCCTACTACATTACACTTGACCAGATATCATATCATAGTCCCAAAAGTTGATGTCCCACATAGGTTGTATTCTGAGGAGTATACATAAAGTTCTAATCAAGTCAAGAATTAATTATAGCTATGATTTGCATCATTCTGTCTTCTTCACCTCATTCTTCGAAGTTATTTTTCATAACATCCTTCTCGCTTTTCTCTAGTTACTAAGTGAGCCACACATACGGATTAATAAGGTTTTCATGAGGTTAACCATCTGGTACATTCCATGCTTCTTGTGCAAGTAACAAACAAGGGTTTGATTATTTCCACACTGATATAGAGAAGCTCCTATCTAAATTTTTGGAGAATGACCTCAACTCTAACGCCTTGTTTAGTGCCCGGAACCAGATCAAGTGAAAATGGAATGAAGGAGCGGAATTGAATTAGCGTGGGAATGGAATGCTCATTTTCATTCTCATTTTTGAGGTACAGTTAGAGAGGAATGATAATATTTTTATTTTTGACATGGCTAATTAATAAGCAATCAACACATATTTGATATGTATTTTTATTTTTTTCATCCTACTTAAGTGAGAATGCCCATTCCTTACCAACTCAATGGGAATACCCAATCCCACAAAACGTAGAAATGAATGAGAAGTGAGAATGGACATTCTAGCTTCCAAAATGATGTTGTGTTTGGTAAGCATGAGAGAGAAGTGTGAATGAGCATTCCGTTCTCACACATTCCTGCATACCAAATGAGGCGTAAACATGTTTTACTTGGAAGAAGTGTTTGAATGATGCAATATGTTTACGATTTCACATATATGGTTATCAAGAAGGCCATTACAATGAAGTATATCCGTCCATTGTAATAGGTGCAGTGGTGTTGTGGTAAGGAAAATTGGAAGTTTAGTGATTGTTTGAAACCTCAATGATTCGCTTCATATGCATGTTAGAAAAAATATTACTAGTATCATGCATTGCATTTGCTCTGTCCTTCATTTCTGACAAGATTTGGAGAAGTTCTCTACAATTTAAAGCTTGAATTCCTTGTTACCCTTCTCACTGACATATAGATCCAGTAGCATACAATATAAACACTATTAAGACTAATTCTAGGTCATGAGTTTTTAAAGTGCTTTGTATAAATTTTCACAGAGCTTTATTTCTATATCTTTCATTCTTGTGATATTGATGGGGTTTCTTTTATCTATAACATGTATTAGCGGATGTCTGTTTGATGTGTATGAATTATTTATTTTTCACATATTACTTGACCATCAGGGAGCACTTATTTTCCACGATGTGTATGATAATGGACGTGACCGGGGTGTTGCACAAATGAGAGTGGAAGGTGTATATATATGGCCCTTCAAGCAACTCCGACTGGTGGCCAGCAGGTATTTACCTTAGCCATATTCTTTTTTGTAGTTTGCTGCAGTTTAGCCCCTTTGTCATAATTGGGTTTGACATGAATGGGTCATATCTGTATTTGATTAAATTGTAACATGTGGTGGAAAAGGGTATGATACTAATTATTAAAACCACATACAGAATGGTCAATAATGTTGATCCTAATACAAAACTACGAATTTTGGAAGATCAGTTAAAATACATACTGTCATCTAGTTAGAAAGTTACATGAGTTTTTAACTATCTTCCAATGAATATGCTCTGAGTTCAAGGATTTCTCTTAGTGTCACCCTTTTATTATGCATATAGTATATGATACTTCGTTTTGTTGCCAAAGTTACAGATTGATGATACATCTACAAGTCCATGTCTTGCCTATCACGACTCTCGTGTCTAACTTCTAATTTCTCATTTAGACGTTCTGTTAAATATTTCTTCAAAGGATAGGTTTTGCTGCTGTTCTAACCAACCAAATGCTGATTTTATGTCTTCTTATGATGATCATGATAGAAGTTCCTGATATTATCTGTACATGACTTTATGACAGTACTCGTCTTTGTCATTACTTGTGTTGTTCATGCATATCCCATTGATGATAGATCATACAATGTCTAAACAAGTGGCATGGCAAGAAGTACAGGTAGCTTCTGTACTAATCGTTGATTCTTTTAGTTGACCTGTTTAATTAAGTTTTATAGCCCTATTTTAGGAATCATTCTTTTTCTGTAACTGACAGAATTTCCTATATTAACCCCAAATATTACAGTTTGCCATTTACAAAATTATACAGGCCTTTCTTGTATACTTCTCTGCATATACATTTTTATAGACTTATGGGAAACTTTTAAAAGCGTACTTCCTTGAAGGTGTAGTTGTAATCTTTCCATGTCCATCAAGTACATAGTTATCCTAGAAGTTTTAAATAATCAATGACAATTAGTAGTTTCCGTTTTTTGAGATTTCCATTTAAAAGTCTTGGGGATTCACCACTACTATGTAGAAATTAGAGTACCAAAGGTATTAGGAAACTGGCCATTAAGATTTGATTTTATAAGCAAAAACTGGTAGTTAATAGACATACTTTCATCTGGTTTTTGTTCAGTTGTGGGGTGGTTAATGGCACAAGTAGCTGTATTTAAAACAAATTTCTGACTTGCCTTTGCTCCTTGTTCTTTGTTTGTTTGACCTAGTCTTTTTATCACGAGGTTAACATTGTTTTTTTTTTCGGGGTGGGGGTG